TTATCAACATTGTAAATAACTTTAAAGATGACACAGCCGCTGGTCATGATAGGATTACCTGCAAATTATTAAAATATATTATCGAACTTGTTGCAGATCCGCTTGTGTACATTTTCAATAAGAGTATACAGCAAGGTATATTTCCGGATAATCTTAAACTAGCAGTGGTCAAACCTATTTACAAAGCTGGAGATAAAAAAAATGTTAATAACTATAGGCCTAAATCTTTGCTTATTCATTTTGCGAAAATATTTGAAAAAATTATTAAACAAAGATTAATTTCGTTTCTAGAACCCAACAAACTCTTATCAAAAAACCAATTTGGTTTTAGACCAGGTATAGGTACCAAAGATGCTTTATATCAAACAACTCAATTTATTTATAGAGAATTAGATAACAGTAATAAAGTAATTGCCGTATTCCTGGACTTAACTAAGGCATTTGATACTGTCGAACATAACATTTTATTTCAAATTTTTCCGAACTTCGGTATTAATAATCGTAGCTTTAATTGGTTTAAAAGCTACCTAATGAACAGAAAACAAATGGTCAGGATCAATGACATTACTGATCAGGCAGGTTCAATTGAATATGGAGTCCCTCAAGGTAGCGTTTTAGGTCCAATTTTATTTTTATTATATATCAACGCAGTAAGTGATTTAATTATTGATGGTTTGGTGGTCTCTTACGCTGACAATACCTGCTTGCTTTTTACCGATAAAACTTGGACCGGCGTTCATCATAACGCAAATGTTGGATTAAATAGTATATACCGAATCCTATGTGACAGAAATCTGACGCTTAACGAAAATAAATCAATGTTTATGACCTTTTCAATTTACAAAAGTTTCCAAACACTTAATCATATTAAAACACATAGATGTAACGATGGTAAGAGTTGTAGTGACTTAAATATTTGCTTAACTATTAAAGAAGTTTCAAGTAGGCGATATTTAGGTATCATTTTTGATAATAATTTACGCTGGAATCTTCACATTCATAATTTGGTAGGAAAGTTACGTCAGGTAACCTATAAATTCTATAAATTAAAAGAGCTGGTAAATAAACACACAATACGTGTAGTTTATTTTGCGTTGTACCAATCCATACTTCAATATGGTTTATTAATTTGGGGAGGATCGGCTGATTGATTTTTAAATCAAATACAAATTAATCAGAATAATAAAGTTAGAATTTGCTTAAATAAACATTCCTTATCAGGTTCTACCTCGCATAATTATAGAGAGTTTGGTGTCTTGCCTGTTAAATTTTTATATAAAAAATTTGCTATTCTGTTCACCTTTAAAAATTTCAATAAAAGCCTTGATGGTCAAGATATTGTGGACAAAAGAGAAAATAGACCGTATAATATACCTGTTGATTACCCATACAAATCATTTGGTCAATCTTTTGTCAACTATTTAGGACCTGTGTTTTTTTAACTCTATGCCATGTCAGTATAAAAAAAATATTCAGCTGTCTGAAAATAATGCTAAAAAGTTAGTGTTTAATTGGTTGTTCTCTCAAATAATTTAAAATATTTTAAAATCTACTGCTGTATTTAATTTGATTACTATTTGTATATACTTGTTTCCTTTTGTTTGTTTTTAATTTGTTATATACTTTTATATGTTTATAATAATTATTTAAGACTGTATTACTATCTATCTCCGACACAAGCTTTTAGCTTAAAAGAGATAGATAATCATGAATAATTTTTATAATTAAATTTTGCAAGTTATGATGATTTCAAAAAAAAAAAAAGAAAAAAAAATACATTTGCATAGGTAGAGTAGGTAACCTGGGGTATTACGGCGCATGGGGCAAAATGAACTATTGTGTATAAATAATTTAATAATTGCTATCTGGTCAAACATTTTTGTTAATATGATTATGTTATCATAGCCAAACGTGATAAAACATTTTTTTCAGCAATTGATGATGTTTTGGTGGCAATATGAGGTAAAATATTAATTGTATTCGTCTGATATAATATTTGAGCAGTATAGAAGTAGTAATATGTACGACACGTTAGATGCTGCTTTTATATATATTCGTTTAGTACAAGTAGGTGACTAAACGTCAATACTAGTAAAATATTAATATGATAACTGAATATACTACAATACTGCTTATGCAGAAAATCATATTGGGGCAAAATCAGAGATGTAAGTTTTCATGTTTTCACTGACCTGTTGAAACTTTTCATGTTTTCATGAAACTTTTCAAAAAAATTGAAACTTTTGATTTAACACTATTGTCTATTATATACTTTTAATTTTTTTTTAAATTATTTAAGACTATAACCAACTTAAATATTAACTGTTCTCAGCACAGATTAACAAATTATTATTTAACAGTCTCAATAGTTCACAATCATTTATTATTTTAAATGCATAAAAATACTGAAACATTTAATTTTTTTTAAGTGCCATATTATATAGGTAGTAGGTACCATTAATTTTATATTTAAATTAATTTATTACATTTATAAGTTGCCATATTATAGGTAGGTACCTATTTGAGTAGGTATTTAATAAGTTTTTTACAACACTTAAATCTTTAAAGTAAAATCAATTTTTTTGTAAATAGCACTTACTTTTTTTGTTTGTTTTTAGTGTCAAAATAAACTTGTCAAATTTCTTAAGGACACTCCCAAAATTTTTTAATAATGTGATCTGACAATCTTGTAGCATTTTTTGATGTAAGCCAATTGCAAAATATACACTGATATTTACTGTTTCTTTCATTAAAATATTTAAAAATATCGGTTTGTCTCGAATTCATGACGAATAACGAAGGCAGTAAGTCATAGAAAACAAATTAAATATTACAAGGCAGCAAACAAACAATTATATAAACTAATTATTATTTATTACTAAATACTAGATAATAGATTTATCGTACTATAAATTGTCATAGATGTAGCAACTAGCAAATAACAATTTAGTTGTAGAAAATTATCATGATAGCAATTAACAGCAGATAAAAGTGGTACCATAATACCTACTACAGTCTACAATAAAATACAATCATAGATATTTAAACTATTGTTCTATTAGGTACCAGCTATTCAGCTATATATATATATATATTGGTGTATGCGTACGATTATGAAATTAAATTTTTGATATTGAAAAGTTTCAATACTTTTCATTTCAATAGCCTTGAAACTTTTCAAATTTCATGAAAAGTTTCACTTGAAAATTTCTGAAACTTTTCAGCCTCACATATCTATGTAAAATGGCTTGGTGGGTTTTGGGGTAAGAGTGCGCAGTATTTCTTATGTGATAATTGACTACCTACTTTTATAAGCATTTAATTTTTCTAGCTAGAAATTGAATTAATTATATCTATTTATTTATTAATTTATTTAAACTAATAGGTACATTATATCTACGATGCATCATCAAATGATTAAATAATATTATGTAATATTTATTGGATAATTATACTTAAAAAAATTACTTTGACTTAGTATTTACTACTAATACTGTATTAATTATATATTATATTAGGAACTTTTATATTATGCATGCATATTACCTATATATATTTAGAACTTATTATTTGATAAAAATAAAATAGAAAACATTCTTTAATAAAATAGATTTTTATGAATTAATTTAGCATGCGGCCTATTACCACATTAGGTGCGCCCTTTTACTTCAATAACGGGGTAAAAAGACGCATTTGTTATAATTTATAATTATTCAGAATTTTTGGTATTTGCTTTGGTAAAATCAAATTTTGACCTGAAAATTGAAATCTACGTAATATTTATGATAGGAAAACAATATAACAATATTTCTAAAACGTGTATGCTACCAAGAACCAGCTGTTAAATGTTAGGTGCGCCATTATACTCCAGGTTACTCTACGTCTTTACAGTCTCAACAATATAATATACCTACCTACTTTACATTTTTATGGACAAAATATAATAATCTATATTAGAACATTCTTTATTATGTACATTAATAATAAGATATATGTATATATTTATATTATAAAAAATTAAATTAAAAATAATAATAATAAAAACCAACATAATTCAACTAGGTATGTTAACAAACAAACAAAACATTATAATTTATACAAATGTTGTGGGATTATGGATAGAAATAAAATGATAAAGAATTGCTTTTTATTAACCAGATAATAGTTTAGACTTTAGAGTAGAAGACTTGAGAATGATTTGGCCCCAGACTTAAATGTAGTAACCGTGTAATGTAGTAACAAGATATTCAAACAATAATTTTAACAATATTAAAATACATGCTAATTTTAATTTTTTTACAAGACAGAATTTTGAATAATAATAATTTCACAAGATTACCATTCATATGGAGGTTAGTTATTTAAGCAATAACAAGAATGACTTCAATAAATTTAATATTCTTATCATTTCAATTACTTAAAATTTTAAAGAATATATTAGGAATATTAACCCATTAAGTCCGATTTTTTTTTTTAAATTTAAGTTGATTTTGATTAAAAACTTACCTGATGTACTTAAATAATAATTGTCTATATTTTTTTTTTTACTCCGTTTTTAAGTTAAGTTCCGTAACCATATGGTAACGCTAGGAGAATATAATACCCATTTTAAAATAATCATATTTTTTTTCAAACAAATATCGTTATAGGAGGTATACAATTTCAACAACCCAATTATTATTGACGAAATCAATTGTATTATTTTAATTATTATTACATAAATATAATTACAATACAGTTATAAATATTACATTAAAACTGAAAAGTTGTAAACAAATTTATTTTTTATGGAATTTAACGAAACAATCGATACATAGTCCAACGTCACCTTTGACACACATTGTCCATCCTATTGATTTACAGCCATCTTTTGCACACCTCCTTCTTTTCTTCTCTTGAGTATATGAAACTAAGTGTTCCATACGATCATATTATCTAATGTTATCGGAAACATGACTGTCGGATGATGACAGAGATCTTGAAGGTCTTCCTGCATCTATTCAAGCTATCCCATATCTTTGTAAATATGTAAGCACTAAGTCACGGCGGAAATCCAACTGGGTAATTTGTTTAGAGTTGGCTTTTTTGTACAAAGTCCAACTGTTGTTCATTGGAATTTCCAATAGCCAAGTAAAAATTGGCCACCACCATTTTTTACCTAACACCCCAAATCTATAAGTGGCCATATTTTGATCCATCAGATCAGTTGTGGAATAAAGACCCATGTACTGGTTATATTGAGCAATAAGTTTAGGGCGACTTACATTTATATGTTTTTTATGTTTTTGAGAATATCTTTTTACACTTGTTACTTTTTCAGTGCCGACATCAGTGGAAGCCATTGTAACAACTGCATTATCCATCCATCTAACCAACAAAATACCCTAATTTTTTTCTATTGCAGTTTCAAAACTTCCACGTTCTTTTTTTGAAAATTTTTTTTGTCGGTCAAAGGACAATTTTTTGGTATTCTATTCTGCCGGATAGTACTAATCGCTGAGAAACCCAGATATTTGAAATAATTAAAAACATTTATCCCAGTAAATAAGTTATTCATATACAATGAGTATGGTAAATGTTTTTTAGAATTGGGTAAGTCTTCAAGCATTAAAATAAGGGGTGATACTGCCTTTCCAAATATAGAATTATATTTTTCATTTTCACGAGGATATTTGCCTTGATACAATTCGAAATTTACAAGATAACCGTCATTTGTATTTACACACCACATTTTGTAACCAAATCGTATTGGTTTACCACTAATGAATTGCTTACATCCATGTTTACCAAAGTACTTCACCATCGATTCGTCATAATCAAGATGTTTTTGAGGTACAACATTTTCTAAGCATTTATTTTTTATCATATTCATAAGAGGTCTAATTTTATAGCATCAATTTGTGTATTATCAGCACAATGAATAAAGCGAAATATTTGCAAAAATCTATCACAGCGCATTGCATTACAGACATCTTCATTTTTAATATCATCCATAGAGTCCCAAAACGATTTTTTTGAAGGTAATTTATTCTATCCACTAAGGTATAAAATACTAATAAAACATCGAATTTTGTCATGCGTTATTTGTGGATCTGGACAATTTAAAAAAAGAGCATAACTAGTTTCATCCACAGATAATTAATTATGTCGTAATCTAGAAAAGTTTCAAAAATTTCTACTATAGATAAGTTTTTATACTTTGAAAAATCATTTTGAGGAAAGTTCTTTTGAAGCTCTTCAAAATCTCCCCATTTTATCCACGGTAAAGATTTCTTACCAGTTTTTATTTTTTTCATCCACTAATCTGTACTTTTCACGCTTACATGTTGATATTGTTCACTCGATGTCCCAGATTTACTACTCAAAATCTCTTCAAGACCAATATTATCATCACCAATACCACCGTACCTCTTGTTATTGGCTATTTTTATTTCTGCTTTAGATCACAATTAGCTTGCTGATAAGTTGTCTACTTTGCCATTGTTTTCATCCCCGGAATCTTCATCAGTTTGTACACACGGTTCAGGTGGTTCGATAAATATTTCGTCTGCATCTATGTCATTATACAAAATGTCCAACGCCTCAGACAGCGAAAATCCAGTTCTATTGAAAAAATAAAAATTATATGTAGTAATGGCGCCTAGCGTTACCATACGGTAACATCAAACTTTTAACTTTCATAACTTATTCAATATTGAATAATATCACACTTAGTTTAGTTAATATTAATCCCTATAATACTGAAAACACATAAATACAAATTATATTTGATTCATATATTGAAAAATGTATTATTTACTTACTCGAAATTGATATACATGTTCTACGAAATAATTTCCAAACTAAACTAAATTCGTTGAAAAATATTTAATGTAAACATATAATAAAGGTTTCTGTATGTGAAATTAATCACCAGGTCATTATCAATGATATGAACGATAGTGGAACTGGATAATCCCATAAGTTTAAAAATAGCATGCATTCAAACACGACTATATTTGTGTTACCATACGGTTACGCTAGGCTTTAATGGGTTAATAACACAATAATTTGTAATCACTAATCATCAATGAATTCTATTTTGAGTTTGTTTTTTGCGTAATTTAAAAAAAATCTCTTGAGTAATTATTTACCCTTGCCATCTGGTCCCTATAAATAAAAATGACATTTTTAATGAATTAATTTAATTTGTAATACTTAATTTAACTTAACTGAGTTAAAAAATATCATTAACTAGCCCAGTCTTGCCTATTAGTAATAATTATTAGCTAATAGCTAATTACCTAATAGCTCAGGTTTAAGGTTAATATCTTTAAAGATTGTTGGTATTACTCCTTTTTTTAGGTCATATCTTTGTCTTCCCTAGTGTAAATGAAATTTAGGTTTTAAAATATCCATAGAAACAAAGAATTAACTTCTATTATGACCACAGCTTAATGTATTGTACTTACTAAAGTAGCATCACTATGAACTATATCATTTGGTAATGAAAATATTGTTTTAACATAATTTAGAGAAAAATGTTCCAAACAAACATATTTCAATTCTTTTGTTTGTTTATTTATTGTTTGGACGATTTTTGTCCGTCCTAATTTATTTTCTGCTGTTACTTTAAATAAAAGTGGTTTACGACCCTGTTTAAAACTTAGACATCCAACAACCAAACACGCCCTCAAATTATTAGACAATAGAATTATATAAATTAGAATATTAATGAGATACTAATAAATCAGAAAGATTCTAAAGAATACATTGTGTCATGGACCCTTGACCATAGTAATTAGTTTTTATCACGGACTATATAGGTCCGTGGTTTTTAATAGGAACCTACTATAGTAGTAATATACTTAAATAACTATAGACTATATTTATATTTTAATTTTGAAAAATTATATCCAATTAGTTGATATTTTACCAAGCAGATAGTGTGCTAGTGTGCATATTAGCTGTGTACAAATTTGGGCGGGGAAGAGTAGAGGGACCGAGGCAATTGCGGTCCGGCTCCCCGTCAAGAGCCCATCATATCGTTTCCAGTCCTCTATGAGCTCTTTCAGACGAGACACTTTGTGGCCAGCCACTAGAATCGCGCTACAAGACACAAAAAGTGTTTCATGTGTAAGCGTCTTTCACACGAGACACTTCTCGTACACGAGTACCTGATTAAATACAATTATTTTATAATTATTATTTATTTTTCACTCAACCATGGAAGTAGAAGAAGCTCTACTACTAGCTCTATTTATTAAAAGAAAACATAATAAAAATAAAAAACGTAAAAGGCTCCATCGGGTGCATCCTATTGTTGGGGATAGATTAGAAAAGGGTAATTTTCATACCCTATTTCACGATCTTCTTAAATACGAATCTAAATTTTTTAATTATTTTCGCATGTCGAGTAAATCTTTTTTTGAACTACATAATTTAATAAAAAATGACAAAAAAAGAAGACACAAATATGAGAAGATCTATTTCAACCGAAGAACGGCTTGCAGTTACGTTAAGGTATGTCTTATCACTTATCAGTAATATTTTTAATATATCTTTATAATTAATAATGTAGAAATGTTCTATAATTTTTTTATAATACGAAAGCGTTTTGTTGCTAAACGTTGTCTGTATAACCGTTAATAATTATATAATTTGTTTTACTTACTTGTTTAATTAAAACACACTACAGATTTAAAAATACTGTAATCAAGTTGTATATTTCCGAATGATAGCAAAATTATTAATATTAAAAAACATTTCTTTCTATATAATAAGTTATTAGAAACAATATTTTTAGTTAAGTAGGTAGGTAGTTCCTAACAACTATATTTAATACAATATTTAAATGTTAAAAATACATTTTTATCCTCTCCGTATAACATTATACAATTAATAAAGACTGATAAACATTAATTGTTTTACTTTTTAAATTGTGTCGTTGAATTGGCTAACATAGCTTGCCAAACTTGAAGAGCTTGATTGAGATACATCTACTTCCGTATTAGATAAAATATTTTGAGATGATGATGGTGTTGGAGTGCGAAAACGTTGATGTTGATTGTTTTGTAATGGATGAACGTTGGGATACAAACTTTGAAAGTTTGGATAAGCCTGTGGTCTTTGGTATAAAGTAGGATATTGATGTAGTGTCGAATTTAGTTGATATTGAGTATCAAAATAAGAACCATCTGAAAAATGGGTATTCTGTTGTCGAGATTTTTTTGCATTAGAAATCGTTTGCATTATGCTAAGTTTCACTTCCATTTTATTTTCCTCTGGTACTTGTTTAAGATCATTGATAAGGGATAACAGAAAAAGTCGGTCAGGATCATCCATTGATTTTGTCATTTCATTTCGATTTTCTAAGCTTTTTTGTATAGATAAAAGCAATTGACTTTCTGAATCCTTATTTTGTGTTTTTATCTTTTTGGATGGCCTTGATTGTGTGATTCTATCTTCATCTGCGTGTTCTCTACCAGAATCATTCATGTTATCATTATCTTCATTATCTGTGGTGGGTTCAGCATCAGCATACTGTTCAGCATCATTGTCATTGAAATTTGTTATAGTTTGTTGATTTCCAACACACGTTGAAAGAAAAGATAACTGATTGTAATAAACATACGTTTTCCACGATTTACTGCCTGATCCAGATTTCATTGTCTTTCTTTTAGACTGTTCACGGGCATATGAATTTCTAAGGCTTTTCCATTTTCGTTGTAGATTTTGCACTGTAATAAAATATAATATTCAAATAATTTATAATAATATATTAATATATCAAGATAAGGATGGATTGATATGTTTTTATTAAGATAACTAATTAACCTGTTATTCAAATTATTTCACATAATAATACATTTTTTTAGGTACCTTGCTACGGGATGCACTTTAACAGAATTGCATTACAGTTTTAGAATTGGTGTTTCAACTTTGAGTTCTATTATTCAAGAAATGTGTAAAGCTATATGGACAAACTTAAGGATAACTTATATGCCAGAACCAAAACAAGAAGATTGGTTGAGAATTACAGATACTTTTTTGAACGTGACAAATTTCCCTAACTGTATCGGGGCAATCGACGGGAAGCATATTCGCATTATAAAGCCAGCACATAGCGGATCCTTGTACTATAACTACAAACATTTTCAACCGTTTTGTTAGCTGTGTGTGATGCAAATTATTGCTTTATAGTAGTGGATATAGGAGATTACGGTAAAAACAGTGACTCGTCGATCTTCAAAAATTCTACATTTTATCGGAAACTTTTCAAAAAAGAACTCAATATTCCAGAAAATACTCTACTACCACAGAGCAATGGATCAAAATTTCCGTTTGTTATTGTAGGAGACGAAGCTTTTGGTTTATCTCAAAATGTAATGAGACCTTACGGAGGAAGACATTTATCTACGAAAAAAAAAGTATTTAATTATAGACTTTCAAGGGCACGACGTTTTATCGAATGTACTTTTGGGATTCTCTCAAATAAGTGGAGAATCTTCCATAGACCGTTAAACGTGGCTGAAGAATTCGCATACGACATTATTAAAACATGTGTAATTTTACACAATTTCGTTCGTATTCGGGATGGAAATTCGTTGGAATTTGAAGACACATTATTTTACGAAGGACTTTTAGATGAAGACAGATCGCCAGATAATACATCGGGAAAAGCAGCTACGAATATACGAGATGATTTCGCTGACTATTTCATGGGCGCAGGAGAAGTTCCTTGGCAATACGAAAGTATCAAGAAATAATTAAAATAAGTAAAATAGTATTTTGTGTAATAATTTGTTATTAAATACCATTTTATTTGTAAATAATAATACAAAATATAGTCATAGCACCTTTAATTAAATTTAAATAACAGTGTTTAATGTGCAATAGCAATTACTCCATATCATGTTTGTGGTTTATTTTTGACTTATTATTATATACATATATTATATCTGATGTAGGTAACTTAAAATAAATTGAATACCTAAATATGCTTATAATTATATTTGAGTCAGTATTTATTACCAGGTTATATACCGTATAAAAATTAAATCCCTGATAAACAGTACAAAAATAATAAATAGGAATAAAATATAGATTTATAATTTAAACTAAAAATAAGGTAATATAAATTATAAATAGACAATTGTAGTACTATATTAATCTATTATTAACGATTATTATTATTATTTTTTACTGAGTATAAAAATGTAAGACATATCTGAAATAGGAAGTTCTACTGTATTTATATTATGACAGCCGACAGCTATATTAAAATATACAACTACTTACCATAGTTTTCCTTCTCCCTTGCATCCATAGAATCAAACCCTTCCTTAAAAATTCGACAAACATCGTTCCAGCTTTCTTGTTTGATTATCTTATTTGCATAATCTGAGTGTGATGTATCCCATAATGAAGGGTGACGTTCAATTTCGACAATTAATTTATCGGTATCAAAACTGGCGAAACTCATACTTATAATGTAATATAATATAATTTAATTTTGGTTATGATTGTATTAATAAATAAATCAATTTATAAACTTACTTCTGAAACTACATTGAACAACTCTGTGGTTATTCGAATACGCGTGTCTCGTCTGAACGTACTAATTTATGTTTATACATTATCAGTAGCTCAGACTCAGACACAGTGTCCGGCGGCTAGAGGGGACGGGACACGCAGCTTCAGAGGCGCGACACACACTCCGTGTCTGTGTCTCGTATGTACATTGTACGCGTATATTTATAGCATTGATATCTTAGTCGCGCGATTCTTTTCAGACACAAGTAGCCGGCCACAAAGTGTCTCGTCTGAAAGAGCTCTATTTCTTAGTCCGTGGTCACAAAACATATAACGATGATACAAATGTGTGGTAACGAAGGCCACACTGCTGGCTGGTCGCAAACAACAGTTAGGCTTCACTGCCGACCGGTGCTGCAACAGTGGAGCGCAACGTTACCACATTAAGAAAAATTTATGAAAACGCCTTGTTTGGGAGCAAACAGCCTTATATTGATAGTTTACATGGCGTAGCCACATAGGACGGCCGAGACATGCCCCGGACCGTCCTTTCATTTGATTGTTTGATTATATGTTTCATGGTGCAGTGCAGTCACTAGACTACTGGAGGCCTATGTGAAAACTAAAATAGTAAAATCTAGAGGCCCCTTGTTATAGGTACACCATTTTCAACTTTTCCTTTTTTTTTTGGATAGGGGGAAGTGCTGGATAAAAAAAGTAAATAAAAATATAAAACAGTTTATCAGAATAATATATAAAATATAAAATATTATAGTATAATACACTAAGTACATTAATAAACTATTAAACAAATATTGTATTTTAAAAACACTTGTGTAGTTGTGTCTTGTAGAATTGTAGATAAATTGTTTGTGATTAATAATTATTCAATTTAAACAATACTAAAATATATTTAATCTATTTTAAAAAATTATTTTTTCTGGCTTTTAAATTAGCGAAATTATTAATAATAGAATCTACATCGATTCGCGAAGTATTAAGCCTTTCAATATTTAATAAAGCAATATTAGTTAACCGATCTTGTGATGTAGTATTACGAAGATAATTTTTAATAAGCTTAAGTTTGGAAATTGAACTCTCCGCTGAAGCCGATATTACAGGAATAGTCATAAATATACAACAACTTGTAAAAATATCTGGAAATCTAATAAATAAACCATTACTTGTTAATTCAGGGCTGTGAATTTAATGCACTAAAAAACCTTAAAAATGTCAAAAAAAATGCAATAAAATATGCACTTGTAATGCAAAATATGCACTTAAAATGAAAAAAAAGGAATATAAAATGCTAAAAATTATAGTATAAAATTAATTTAAAATGGTTTTTAATTTAATTTTGATATTTATATTAATATTAGGTACACAATATTAAACATTAGTAAAACAAATCGTTTATTTATTAAAAAAAAAAAATAGTAAAAATGTTTGAAAAATTTGAATTTATATTTGCTATTCAATATATCTACCCATTGTATCTGTTGTCTCGTCAATTGATATCCAAATTTTTTTATTTGATGCATACGTTCTGATTTCACATAAAGTGTCTTTGTAACATTCGTGTACATATGTTTTTCTTAATGTTGATTGGTCAGGTATCGATTTATTAATAGGTATATTTTGCTAGAAATTTACGAAAAGTTGGTTGCGATAACTTATTCAGTGGTATATTCACACTTAAAAAAGCTTTACAAAGGTCACTATTAAAACTTGAGTTTGATGAAGTTGTGATCAAAGTTTGAAGACATAAAGTTTCTTTATCGTTTTTTTTTTTTGGACACCTACAATATGCTTGTTAGTTGCTACGTGTTGTATCGTAAATTTTTTTTCCGCCGAAACTCTAACTTCACAAACTTTACAGTATAATATTGTACCATCCGTACTAAAAATATCAGCTCCAAATTCATTGACGTACTTTCGTAAAGTAGACGAGAAAAGCGGTTTGGTTTCGGAATTTTACTGTACACTTTTTACACTTCACTGTACACTCGCGAACGCCGAACAAGTACCTACTAAACGATAATTACTGAAATACCTACTAATAACTTAATCTGGAAATTCGTACTGATATACGATATGACTATGCCACAATAACTTATCTAGTTGTCTAGCAGTTGCCTTATTTTATCGAATCGTTATCTTTAACTAACCCGGATAAAGCTTGTGACTTGTATAAAATATTATTTAATAAAATATAAATTTGACATAATATAATATTATACAGAATGTGTAAAATAAAAAAAATGTTTTCAAATAAGTCAATTGACGGAATTTGATTAAAAATACTAGAAAATGAATTAAAAAAGCAAAATATGACCTAAAAATGTGAAAACCGTCAAAAAATGCAAAAATATGCAAAATAAAAGTTTCATAGGTAGATTCGTAGTTACGTAATTCAAAGTATGTACTAACAAAGCTATGTTTTACAATCACAAAAAAAAATGAACTTTCCTATAAATTCACAGCCTACTTATTATAGATTCTGCTAGTTTTTGAATAGTCATTTTTTATAAATCTTCACATTTAAAATTAGATATTAAAAATTTCTATAATGATAAAATTTGGAGTGTGAAATCTGAGTTGATATCATCCGAGTATTAATTGTTTATAAAATCATAAGCAGACCTAATTAATTCTTCTTCTGGTATTGTAGTCATTGTGTATGGTATTAATATACTAAAATCATCATTAATTTTCTGCATGCCAAAAAATCTCTCTTTGAGCTTTTGCAAAGTAGTATCTATTAAATGATAAAATATGGCCACTTTAAAATTATCTTCTGTTACGGTCAGTCTTCTATCACTATCAAACTCATCATAGAACTTTGTTGCAAATCGTTGTCGTTTGTTAAGAAATTTAAAGGGTATGTTCCACAATTTACATACAGTCTTAGAATTATCTACAAAAATATTAAACTCGTCTCTAAATTTTAAAATGTCTGCATGAGAATTTGGTAACACTTTTAACACTCAAATGCTTAATGTAATTCTATATTAATAGATTGAAGTATTTTGGACACAACAAACAAAGACTTCAATATTTATTCCTAACACATATAAGTAAAACAAACTCTGCAGACTGCAGATTCAAGCTTCTTTTCTTTTTAATAGCTGTGGCTATGTTAATCTAATCTTTTTTAGAACTTGTTAGCTGAATTCTAGTAAAAGCTTTTAAAACATCAACAAAACGCTGTTTTAGTGAAAATAAGGCATTGTGACGCGCTGCCAACGCGTAACACACATTTTTTTTTTTAATGTTCTTTTTCTTAATTTGAAACTTTCTTCTTCCCCAGGAGCTAGTTAAGACCACCGTGGTGCACTGGAACTAAAAAAGTTATATACATCTTGAACAGCTTCAAAAAAAGATGATATTTCTCGGGTACTTTTGGCAGCATCACTTATCAACAAATTTAAATTATGAGAGCAACAATGTACAAATGTAGCATTTAGTACGATTTAAAGGATTCTATTTTGAACTCCCGAGTTAGCTCCACAGGAGCTGCCCCATCTACCCTTGGGCCTCTACATTTTTCTATATTTAATCGATACTTGGATAGGATGTTTCAAAAGTTCAGCATAATCAGATTCACCTTGTTTTTTTAATTTAAAAAAAACCCTAAAAATGATTCCTTGATTTCTACTTTCTTTTCTTCATAATTAACAACAGTGTCACGAATTATAAGACTAACATGATGATCATCTTTATTTATATATTGTGTTGAGTCTAAGATAATTGAGAAAAAACAACTAGACCTAATGTCATCACAAATAATACGACGTAAATCAGAAGACAAAATATTGTACATTTAATTATATATTTAAATATTATTATAAATGTGAATTATAAATAACTATGCTAGGTATTAAAACAAGTATGAAAATAAATATCTGTATCCTTGTTTTCTTCAGATTCAATGTAACAACTAGATGTTAATGTTTGTCCATCATCCTGACCAATTTCACAAGAATCTAAAATTAAAAATAAATAGTTTAAAAATTACTTTCAGTTAGCTATAATGTAAATTGAAATCACTAATAGCTAAACATAGTAAGACAAGCTTGACATTGTTGCATCCAAAGAAGTTGTACGGGTTATATCTTTTTTTTTTATAACACTTGAATAAGTTGAAGTTGAATTCATGTCTTGTGATTCAGAAGAGCCCAAAATGTAAGTTTTTTTTCATACATTTTTTTTTTATTATTATTTATTAAGCCGCAACGACAAAGGTTATTGGCATTAAAACATTAAAACATTAATATTTTTTAACAAGAATGAGAGACATTAATCATGATATGTACATAGTAATAGGATATGAAAATTACAATAACAATATATAGATACAGAGATAAGTAGTTAAATGGATACATAATAATAAATTGTATGTTTGAAAAATATCTTGGTTATATTAGGTAATATAATCTCGTTAATTTTAAATAGTGAATTATTTGTTTTATATTGATTGGCTGTGGACTAAGGGCTTCTTCCAGGTTGTCTGATATATTGAGGTTAGTTCTGATGTCGGCGAATTTACGGCAGTGGCATATTATGTGTTCAACCATAGAAGTTACACCGCAAGTTTGGCATTGTTCGGGATCAGATCTGTCCATAAGGTGTTTATGAGTCACCCATGTGTGGCCTATCCGTAGTCTGTTTAAGATTACTTCCTGGCGTCTAGGTAATAGGAAGAATGGCCATGGGGAGACTGTGGGCTTTATTTTATTAAGCTTGGGGTGGAGAGTTGACCATAGGATCTGCCATTGAGTTAGAATGTGGTTGTCGATGGTGGTTTTGAGGTCCTGAAAAGTACAGGTGTGGATTTAGAGGGAGAGGTGGGAGGAGATGGCTTCTTTGGCAAAAGTGTCAGCCAATTCATTTCCTCGGATTCCGACGTGGCTAGGTACCCAACAGAAAATGATGGTCTGTGCATTGGTTTTGAGGCGGTGTATCTGGTTGTGGATTTTTCCGGATATACTGTTGGGTTGGTGGATATTTAGGATACTGGTTAAGGTGCTGAGAGAGTCGCTAAAGATTATGGCTTTATTCATTCTATTTTCATATATTATATCGAGAGCTAGGGAGATCGCAGTGGCTTCGGTTGTAAAGACTGAGCAGAAATCTGGTAGCTTGAACATTTGTTTTGTTTCGTTATATACCACTGCTGCTCCTACACCCAAGTTTGTTTTAGAACCGTCGGTGAAAAACTTAGTATGCTCTTGGAGATTTTCCGAGAGTGAAAGAAATTCTTTTCTGTATACGCTGGACAATGTATCGGCTTTGGGGAGTGAGGATAATGTGGTGTTTATATTGAAATCCATGATACAGGGGGGGGTGAGGGGACATTCATGTCTGATAATTCCGGAAATATCAATATTTGTGTTTTGAAGGAGGTTTTTAATACCTTGTTGTGTGGGGAGGTTGTTTTGTGTACCCCTGGCGGCTAGAAGCATGGCATTCTTTTTCCTTATTAGGCAGATGGGGGAGTTGAGTAATGTTAAGTAGGCTGGGGATTGGGCTCGAACGAAGCTCCAGAGACTAACCTTAGGCCGGAATTATGTACTGTTTCGATCATTTTTAAGTTCGAAGGTCTCGCATTTATGAAGAGGAAGGACCCATATTCTAGTTTTGAAAGTATGTGAGATTTTAAATCATTTTGAGTGAGGACGAATTTGCGCCCCAAGAGGTGTGAGCCAACATCTTGAGGATGTTTATTCTTGTTATTGTTGCTTTTCTAAGTTCTTTCAGGTGGGCGCACCAATTATTTCTTGTGTCAAATACGATTCATAATATTTTCAAAAGTCTTGTGTTGTGTATAGGAGTATTGTTTATTTTTATGTTTAATGTCTGATATTTTTTTTTTGGAGTGTGAAAATTTGATGCTCTGTGATTTTAGAGGAGTGAAACGGTAACCGGATTTTGCTGACCATTTTTCTAGAGATAAGAGTGGGTCTTGTAATACGGGTTGTATATTTTGGGTATTTTTACCGCAGCACCATATGTTTAAGTCATCTGCGAAAAGTGATGATATCACGGGGAATTTGATTTCTTCACAAAGGTCGTTGATTGCAACTAGAAATAATGAGACGGATAAAATGGAGCCCTGGGGCACACCGTTTTCTTGTTTGAATACCTGAGAGAGGTGGAAATTGACTTTAACCTGGAAGGTTCTGTCCATTAAAAAGTTTTTTATAAAGCTTATCATGTTACCTTCGGACAGTATTTTGTGTAGTTTTTGTATTATGTGTGGACGCCATGTATTGTCATACGCTTTTGCTAAATCTAGGGCTATTAGGCCTAGGACTTGTTTGGTTTCAAAAGTTTTTATTATATCATTTTGTAAATCATGTAAGTTGTTGTATGTGCTTTTATTTTTGCGAAAACCGTTTTGGTGTGGGGAGAGATAGTTGATTTTTTCAAGGAACCATCCCAATCGTGTGTCTATGATCTTCTCGAGTATTTTGCACATTGTATTTAACAAGGATATTGGTCTATAGCTATCTGAGTCGAATTTATTCTTTCCGGTCTTTAAAATTGGGATAACATAAGCATGTTTCCAGAGCTTAGGGATTTGTCCGCTGTCCCAAATTTTGTTGAATAAGCGGAGCATGAAGTGGATTGCTGACAGAGGCAAATTGTGTATGAAGATATATGGAATTTCGTCGGGACCGGGGGAGAGACTGGAGCTATTGGTTATGACCCAGTTTAATTCGTTTAACTGATTGGGGAGTTTAAATATTTTTGTTCCTGGTCTGTTGGGTTAATGTTGGAATGAAGTTCGTGGAAGTCACTTATGTTGTTCTTATTTATAAATAACTCATCATAATTGGTGTCAGAGCTGTTTGCGTAGAAAATATTTCCGATGAGGTTAGCGACATCGGTCGGGTTGTTGTGAAGGGTGTTATCTTTTATAATGTGGAGTTCTTTTTCCTTGCTGAGACCACGCAAGGATCTGACTTTAGACCAAACTAGGCTTGGGTCGCTTTTGGTTCCTATGGTTGATGTAAACAACTTCCATGAATTTTCTTTGTTTCTTTTTACTAAGTAGCGCGTTTTTGCTCGAAGTTGTTTCAGTAGGATATGGTCGTCGGTATAGCCTGTTTTTATGAATACTTTTAATGCTTTGTTCTTGTTTTGGATAGCAAGTTTGATTTCCTGGTTCCACCAGGGAACTTTGGAGTTTTTTGAGTTGGAATTTGTTTTGTTAAGTTAGCTGCAGTTATAATTGTGTTTGTTATGTGAGAGACATCATTGCTGATAGTATCGTCTGGTGGTGGGGGATTAGAATTTAAGTATATTTCAACCATCTGTGAAAAGAGATTCCAATAGGTGTTTTTGAGTTTCCATCTGGGGGGCGTTTTATTTAATGGAGCTTTACTAGAGAATAAGTCAATTTTTATTGGAATATGGTCACTATCGTAAATTTCAGGTAACGTTGACCAATTTATACGTTGGGCCAAGGAGGTACTACACATAGATAAGTCAATCGTAGAGAATTTACCAATGGCTGAATTTAGACGGGTGGGTTCTCCATTGTTGAGCAGGATAATGTTGTCCATTTCGGCAATTTTTTCAATTTGTTTCCCTCTGTCGTCGGTTTTATCAGATCCCCAGTATGCACTGTGACTGTTGAAATCCCCGGTTAGTAAGAAGGGGGTTGGAAGTTGATGAATTATGTTTACAATTTCGGACGCATCAAATTTTTTTTGGTTTGGTATGTAAATATTGCAGAGGGTAATTTTAGTCTCTAGTTGAATGGAAATAGCGACCACTTCCAGCGTAGATTGGACTGGTACCCGTGAGCTTGGATATTCTGAACGAGCCAAAATAGCGACCCCTCCACTGGCTCGGAGGCAGTCTGTCCTGTTAGTGGTGTAAATGTTAAAGTTATTAATGTTGGGGGTAAAGTTGTCATTAAGGTTTGTTTCTCGGAGACATATAATAGTTGGATTGTGGTTTTGGATGATTATTTTAATGTCATTTAGCTTTTTTACAAAGCCGTTTATGTTCCATTGAATTATGTTTATACTCATTATGGGTTTCAATTCTGGGAGGGTGGAGATGAGGGTGCTGCTTGAAACAGAAGGTGAGATAATTTTGTAAGTCTAGATTTAGTGTTCCGATCCTTTATTTCTTTTTTGACTTCTTCAATTAGGTCCATAAGTACAATATTATCTATATTGGCTTATTCGCATAGTGAGTTTATATTGATCGATTTGTTTGTAAAATTTTCGAGAATATGTTTGAACTGGATAAAAGTTATAGGTGTTTCTAGTTTGGAAGAGAAAAGCTCCTCTGCTGGTTGTAACGCTATATCTATTTTACTAGCCTCAGTTTGAGTTATTATCAGCGAGTTAGATCTAGAGGTAACTTTTGGTTTTTTTTTGTCGGGCTGCGCGATAGGAAAATTACCACTTGAGCCCGTTGGAGAGGTGGGGGACATTGGTGAATTTGTGTCTGATAAAGGTCTCTTGATATGGTTATAGGTTGGGTTTTTAATTGAATTTTAGGTTATTATATTACAATTGAAAATATTTTCGTAGTCGGGAGTTATGGTTTCATCTTGTTTTCCTTCGTGTTGGTCCGAGTGATTTGAAGAAGATTTGAAAATGTAATACAAGATTCCTCATAAGATTATCTACATTTATCAAAAAAAAAATGTCTATAAGAAAGTCAAATTAAATTTTTAAGAGCGTTTGAAATTCAAATTTTTACAACATTGGATATTCACTCGATTTCTCATGTAGCGATTTCTTTATTTTGTTGTAATACAAAAACGAATAACTGTAGATACATGAAAATTTCACTGAATGTTTATATTAGAATTTCCTATACACCATACAATTTTGAAAATATTTTGACTCTTTTTCAGCTGTTTGACTGATATTTCAAAGTCTAACATCTGAGGCGATCTCTATTTAAAAATATAATTATAGTTAAAAAAATGAACATTAAAATTGAATTTAAGGCATTCATTACTTGAGCTTCTTTGAACATTTTTTTAAATTCATGATCTACATTTTCCCTTAAATTGTCAAGAACCTTGATACTGATATTGGCCAAACTGATCATTTCTCTCAAATCTATGTTTTTTTTTAGCACGGTTTTAACTTTTAAAGTTTTAACTATAATACTGATAATACCTTATTAATATGTTATCTTAAATTTCAGTATTATCAACATAAACATATAATAAGATTATCAATTATCACAGTAACAAAACGGTTTTGGTAATGGTGATTTGTCATTGCGACCATTAGACGATACACAAAATACCTTAATTATAACCCTTAACAACACAAACATCTAAAATATTATTAATAACTATTATTGATAAAAATTTTTTTTTAATATATAAGATATATTAGTAGTTTTAAATATTTGAAATAAATTTATAAACTTTCCAAGGGGGGGGTTTGAACCCCCTAACCCCCCCCGTGTCTACGGCCCTGTGCAGGTACTAAGCCCCTTAATTTATAAAATTTATAGGTAATTACGCTTAGCTTTCCTAGTAGATTTTGTGAATGCAGATTCCACCTTAAGTTACTATCGTAAATGATACCTAGGTAACGGGTTCTTGTTACTTCTTTTATAAGAATACAATTTTGTAAGTTGTTACAGCTGTTTTCGTCAACACATTTGTGTATAATTAATGGATTTAGAGTTAAGGATATTTTATTTATAGAGAAGCTCATAAAAAAGGTTTTATCTTCGTTTAAAGTTCGATGTCTTTCACGAAGGCAATGGTATACCTTATTAATACCAATAGTTGCTTTACGGTGTACTCCTTCCCATGACTTGTCGGAGAAAAGTAGGCAGGTGTCATCAGCGTAAGATACAACTAACCCATTAAGGGTTAGATCACTGATCAGGTTAATATATAATAAAAATAAGATCGGGCCCAATGCACTTCCTTGGGGGACACCATATTCATTTATACCTTCTTGGCCACATACATTGTCAATCTTAACCATTTGTCTCCTGTTATGGAGATAGCTTGTGTAGCTATACACATTTTATCAATTCCGAACGAGGGTAGGATTTGGAGCAAAATTTCGTGATTTACCGTATCAAATGCTTTAGCTAAATCCAGGAACAGGGCTAAGACCTTGTTACTGCTGTCTAGTTCGTTGTAAATAAATTCAGTTGTGCTAAATAAGGCATTTTCCGTGCCTATAACTGGTCTAAAACCAAATTGGTTTTTTGATAGAAGTTTGTGGTTTTCCAAAAACGATATGAGTCTTTTTTTAATTATTTTTTCAAATATTTTAGCGAAATTGCTCAGTAAGGATATTGGCCTATAATTATTAACTTGTTTTTTATCCCCTCCTTTGAAAATTGGTTTAATCACAGCTAATTTTAGTAAATCCGGAAAAATACCTTACTGTATGCTTAGGTTATAGATGTACACTAAAGGATTTTTAATGAAGTCAATTACATATTTTAATAATTTCATTGTCATCCTATCATAGCCTGGAGCTGTATCGTCCTTACCATTATTGACTAAGTTAATAACATCTTCAGTTTCAATTTTTAGACAAAAAAAATTATCAAACGACAAACTTTCGTGACTTTGTGGAAGATACTTTTTAAAATCAAAGTTAGAACTTACAGCTAAATTTTTTCCTACATTAATAAAATATTGGTTGAAGATATTAGATATCCCTTTTGGATCCTCATTAACATTATATGTTTTGTCATTAGTGCTTATCGTTTTGATAGTTTCCTTGTTTATGGTTTTATTATCAGTGATTTCATTAACAAGTTGCCAAGTTAACTTTGGATTATTTGAAACACTCATAAATTTATTTTCATAAAATTTAACTTTGGCTGCTCTTAGAATACTAGTATAGTTGTTTTTATATTTTTTGTAGTATTGGGCCAGTTTTTTTATTTTTAGGATTTTTTTTACATTTTAAAGATAATAACTGTTTAATCCTAGTGGAGCATAACAAACCAGTTGTCATCCATTCTTTTAGTCTTGTATTTTTAGTGGTTAATTTTTTAGTAATTGTAGATTTATCAAGTGAGTTTGAAATTATTTTATGAAACTCAGTAAATGAGTCATTTGCGTTTTTACTTGAATACACTTCAGTCCATTGTTGTTCACTGAGTAGATTTTTAAATTTATCATAATCTATTAAATAAATATATTTGGTTTTTTTATTCGATAAAGAGTTCACTGGTATGGAAACACAGGTTGAA